CGCTGGCTTTCTTTGCCAGGCTTATATTACTAAAAAAAAGAGGGCGCTTCGAACAAACTAGAGTTGCCAGGAAAATTCATGATCCTTCTAGAAACTCCAGCGTGCATGCTCCCAGCTCGCTGTCGTAACAATATATATATAGTTATATATGTTGTTTCTTCTGATGGTATTGTTACTGTACATGTTTTAATTTTATCCAGTTTTATTTGTACATCTATATTTAAGATATTATATTAACATTTAAATGTCTGAAAAATGGAGATCACACTACTGCTCCCTGTAAAATGTAACAACTTTAGATTCACCTGTTTTACGCTAAAGATATTATCTGTAAATATGAATAAATATCTATTATCTTCCACATACCACTATTAAACAACTTGTAAACATCAGTCTCAACACAAGTATAAGAATATCACGAATAGTTAATACGATAGAACACAGAAGAAACTATACCATCTTTTTATATTTACCAGAGGCTACAGTACTCTTGAAATTACGACGGAGTCGGGACAGTATTCCATCGTAATTATAAGTTGGTTAAAAAAACAAGAGTTTGCGAATATAAGACCAGTAACGCACTTTTAAGTTACCAGTTTTAAGCCTATAAAAGTTCCCTGGTGATTCAGATAGTTTTGTTCTTCGCAATAAAAAGTTTATGAGCGTATTTAAAATGAGGGATACATTATTTATATCTTACTATTGATTGATTTTTACATATTGATATTAACTTCCGATCTGAGAAAGTTATGTACTAAGAACGTAACTAAAAATAAACCTAGTAAACAATTTAATTGATTAAATATACTTTTTTGCGTTTTTTCATTGTTTCCTCAGTTTATTATTCTCACTACTTACGATATCTTTGGCCGTAATCCCAATAATATCTCGCGAGCTTTGGCCAGCTTAAGAGCTTTAGGTTAGTGCTAAATATAAATATATAACTAACAATGCGAAACAATCTTTATAATAAAAAAAGTATAAAAATAAACAATAAATATACATTAAAAAGTATTGATATACTAAATAGTATAACCAGTTGAAGGTAACAACAATTAGATATTTCCTTACACAATATAGAAACACTAACTGTTGGCTTAAACAACTGGTATTACATGCCTGTTTTTTTCACAAATTCTCCCTAGATCATGTTTTGACCTAAGAAAACTCATTAATCCACCACTACAGTCGAAAGTTAGATAAGAATGACATCTGTGACAATCTATGAAACATATGTTACTGTTTAAAACTGTGTCAAGGTATTGGTAGTAGTTTATCTACAGTGCAATCATACAACTACTGTTTATGAAGATAATATCTCAACTGTCCATGAAAATATAACAATGTTTAATGTGATACAAAAAAAAACATGTGTTGTGGCTAAATTTTTACCTCTCTTATTTTGTATATTCCCTCTAACAAACACACAGAGGGCTACATGAAGTAATAGATAACTTATAAAGTTCTATAGAAGACAAAAATAAAACACCTCTAGAATGTAGAAAGTTCAATAAAAATAACAAAACTTAGACATTCGTTAATCTGGCAAAGAAATTAATCATCACAAAGTAATATAAGTAAACTAATGACGTAATATCATACTCTATACTAAACTGGTTTACAGCTAATATTAACTATATACATAATGATAATTTTAACTACCGGATGGTCGAAACCCTAAAACGGTTCAATATTAGCATCAGCATTAAAGTGTAGACGTAAATGGATTTAAAAAGTTGTGATACTTTATAAAACTTCTAAAACCATTATTTGCAGTATGAACATCGTTGAATTTCCCAAAGAATTGAATTCATTTTGTGTTTAAAATGCGCCACGAGAAACCTCAATTATGAAGAATGAGAGTGAGTTTACGAACTCTATCCACAAAATTTTATATTGATGAACAAATTACATTGTATCTAATAAGTGATCAGTAAACATTGTAACATAACTTATTTGGAAACTTCATAACTTCAAAGTTGAAAATATCCGTTTTATTACACACTTTATACTTGAATGTTCGATTAATGATGCTAATATCTAAATTCAGATAGTGTAGTTTGTTTTTAGTTTTTCTAGAGTGAGCTATAGTGGATAAATTTCTACGGCAAAACTTAATAGTCCAGTATAGAACATCATCTATATATCTGAAAGTGTGACTGTCGTCCAAAGCTTTACTACAGTATTTCTAATCCGAATAAATATAGATCTGCAACTTATAGGCTAAAGTTACCTCACATTGGAGGTCTCTGTATCTGTTGGGAGACATGCTGGTCAAAATACACAATGTATCATCAAGTACAAAAACACGTGGCGATTACCGATGATAATGATACCGGTTGACAACATTACAGTAATTCTTTCAACGTTCTTTAAGGTATTTCATAATAATATGCTTTATGTAGTAGTTCTTGTAAGAAGGCATTATCTGCTAAGGTTATTAAATTTGTTTTTATATCCATTATTGTCTCTTATTTTTTCGTTATTCATGTCAGCAAAATCAAAGGTTGTCAACCTTTACTTCTAATAACTGTAAAATAACTTCTAAAGTACACGTACTATAACCTCATTACAAATCAACGTGTTAGATCTGCACAAGAAATAGATATTTTAGTATACATACGTATCTCAGAAGAAAATTACAAAAAAAACTAACTCACCCCCCCCCCCAAATAAACTATCAAAAGTTCTACTGCTAATCAAAATGATTGGTCATATCTACTTCCCAAATTGTTTACAGTTACTAATTGTAATGAATATAAACCATTAATATTCTAAAGAATATACAATAAACTCGTAAGTAAAAATATTAGGCGTGAAAGTAAAATCTCAACACACAGACACACTATATTCCAGCAGATTTATTTCATTGGTTGCAAGTGTCGGCAAGGAAAGTAACAATTACTAATCAAATTCTAAAGAAAAACATGGCATCACCAGTTGACAGTTATCTGTTAAGTTTGTTTGTTTGTTGAGTTTCGCGCAAAGCTACTAAAGAGCTATCTGCGCTAGCCATCCATGATTTACAAGTAACAGACTTGAGGAAAGGCAGCTAGTCAACAACATCCACCGCCAAATCTTGGCCTACTCTTTACCATCGAAAAGTGGGACTTACCGTTACATTTTAACAACCCCACGGCTGAAAGGACGAGCATGTTCGGTAAGAGGATTCGAACCCGTGACTCACAGATTGGGAGTCGAGCGTCCTTACCACCAGACCATGTTTAATAAACTTGAATTATCAACATATTGAAAAGCGTGAAACAGTGTTTTCATTTAGCAAAATAGAACGTTATAATTAAATAAATAATTATGTTTGCCTTCAGTACAGACGACTGATGATATAATGATAAGTAATGTTGACATGCGATATTCCTATGTAATAATAATATATTGCCAGTATAATGGATCTATTTTTTTTATAAGTTAACCGGAGAGATTTCTTCTAATGCTTGAAATAATTATGAAGCGCCATTGTTCTCTCTAAGTGAAAATATACGTAGCCTTGGTAGGTTTTCGTGGTAGCATTTGTCCAAGCGAAGTTCCTTAACTCTTCTACGCATCTTTATTTCTTCTGTGCATACATTTAATGCATAAGAATAGTGGCCAATGACACCTTTTCTTCACTTCACCTATCCAGTGTATAGTTTTTCTCATAGTGACTACAAAGCACGTTCACACTAACAATATGTTTGATACTTTTCACTATGATATAGATCCAGCTTATGTTTAGTGTTACTGATGAGGAGTGGAATTCTCCGAAACTTGTATAACTCAATAACGCACGTTGATCAAAGTGTAGATTGAACTGGACCTCCCTTGAACTTAGACTTCAATATTAAGCAATTTTCGGAATACTAAGTTTATTTATTATCATAAGAATGTATCCCATTCAAGTTGCAAAGTATACATTTTGTGTATCCTGTACAAGTCAGCAATTTGAAGTACTATTTTTCTACAGTGACATTTTTCCAGCGTACGTGCACATAACGCATGTTGGTAATTCTAAAGTAAAATGTACTTATTAAGCGTTTTGTCTTCAGATAACTAGTAGTTTGGTGAGAGTTGTATTAAGGCAAAGGCGGCAAAAAATACTAAAAACAACGCACGCAAGTCATTTTCACTTGAGGACAGCCTGGATTTCAGTTCCTACTTCTCTGCACTACTCTTTGGTGTCAAAACATAATTATGTAAGAGTAGTAGAAAGGTATCGTAATAACCGGTTTATACGTGTTTGATCGTATACACAATATATATACGACTTATTGGTCGATATGCGGTACATGATCAAATAATCCACGTGCCACTGAGATAATTAGTTATCTAAGGGTTTTATATGGTGTGAAACTGTGGTCCAATAATATGTGTACACATATTTATAAAGAGAATAATCTGACCTGATTTAAACTTATATATTGGCGAAGTACGTAATTTGCTCTACAGTTAGTTTGTTTTTTCTGTTTTTCAAATTATTTCACAGTTATTTTATAATTCTCCTTAGCTTCTTTTCTTCGAAGTTATTTTGTAGTTCACTGAATAAATTATCTTGTCTTAGATTAGTTTGTAAACATTCAGACATTAACGATAATTCTATTCCAGTTTTCTTTTCTCTTTGTGTCTACTTTGATTTTCGGGTAAACGATAGTAACACGTCTTGCCAGGAGTTATCTAGTGGCCGAAGTTCGGTCTTGAGTACTGGCGGTACGTGGAGATCTCAGCACAGGACATTATCTAATCATTTACTTGGAGTAGCCAAGGGTGTTTTGAAGGGTTAAAAATGAAAGTATTATTTAAGATCTTAGTTAATGACATGACTAAAACATTATATACAAATAACGAAAAAGTAATTACATTACTATGACACTATATGCATAGTTGCATTATTACACAGATTTTCACATAAATTTACACCTTGGTAAAACATAACACTTTCATATTTTAATAATTTACTGAGTTCATTAATACGCTTATGTTTCCTACCCTTATTTGCCAAATTAAAAGTAATGTTTTTTTCAGTTACCCAATAACTTTAGAATGGTCTTCATAGTAGTGGCATTGATGATGAGGGTACACATAACAATTCCACCTGTATGGATGAATATCTGAGAAAGAAGTATAGATAAAACATCAAATTAATGGAACACGTAGGTTCGCTTCTGTGATAGGTACACACTAGCAATTGATAAAACAACATGTATTAACTGAAATATATTATTATTAAATTCTAAAATACATGGTAGGTTGAATATAAAATGAAAAACCCAACTTCAAAGACAGATATTTATTTTACTAACAGTTTGAATAAAATAAAATTTATGGAATATAAACACATACATTTAGAAAAAAAATAATAACACGTTCAAAATAAAATATTTTAAACAGCTGCATTAACTTTTATATTGTTACTAACAAGGAAAATTATTAATGTATATATTTAATAAAAATTTAAAAAAGAACACGTGCATTTTAATAAGTACAAATAAAATAAAACGTATTTATTATAAACACACTGAAATATTCTGAGGGTTGAGTGTGTTATATCAAAATAATTTCGAATATGCAAATCAGTAAGTCACGTGAGGACCACTGCCGATATAAAGTCGTTATAGAACAGAAAGTATCAAATGACATTTTAATATTGTTTGGTGTTACTTTGGTAATATGATGGCACCAAAAATAATCACTCTTATATTTATACATTTTTATCATAAAGGTGTGTTCTGATTGGAGAATTACAATTACAATGAAAACTATGTTGCAGGTTTATTTCATGGCTGCAAGATCGTCATATAAAGCATGAGCAGACATAGACTACCACGATGTGATGAGTCTGTACAATAGTTTTGATATAACGTACTAAACCTCTGTGTATATATTGTAAATGTTGTGATTTCATTTCATCCTCCTCACCTCTTCATCATATTTCTGTTATCCAGTTGCAGGGAAAAATAAAAAGTCCACTTACCTTAAATTGTTAGTTCTACAAGCATATGAATTGTATCAAGTATTGTCCAGTGACAGTTAAACACTTTTATATATATATATATGTCATTACATAACAAAAGGACGAAATTTTGACCTTCTTTATGGCAAAGCCTGTAGAAATATTTTAGTATGTTGTGTAGATTTATAAGACAATTAAACTGGATGTAATATGATGGCTCTGTATATGTATATATAAAAGCACAAAAGATTGCATGAATTTGAACAATAACAAAATATGTTTTCAAACTAGATTTTTAAGAACCACATCAGTTGTAATCTTGATGATATTGCTATTAATGATAAATCGTATTGACAGTGCAGTGTGAAAAACAAAAAGTACTTGAAGTATTATACGTATATATATTTTTTCATAAAAAAACATACAATGAGCATGGGAGATTTTCATATGTAAACCTCACTTGTCACTTATCTATGAAAAATATTATGGCCCATCACAAGATATTTTGTAATAGGTGAAGCAAAGCAGGTAACAAACAAACACAATGGACTATCTGTCCTGTGCCAACCAAGGGTATCGAAACCCAGTTTTTAGCATTTTAAGCCTTCAGACTTACCGCTGAGCCATCGGGGTAGGGGTGAGGGCACACAACAAGTAATTATACTGTCACATTTAGATCTCTGCACTTAATGTTGGTGTTAATAACAGCAAGTTTCTCCAAAGGATGGCTCAGGCCACATATCTTTACAAACTTTCCTAGGACCTTCCACTATAGGCCTGATGTGGCCTAGTGGTTCCCATCCCGTTGTTGCAAGATCGTGCTTCACACCTTGATGAGATATAAAATCAACGGTAAAATTCCATTACTCCTAAGAGCTGCCTGCTACTAGCCTATCACTTCAGAATTAGATACCACTAATGCAAATAGCATTGTGTAACTTTGCGCGAGTATCCGAAATGAACTAACTTTCCACCGTAAGTGGACGTCAGCTTTAAAGACTACATTTGAACGTCCTTTGGACAGTTATATGTTCGAATGAGACCAACATCTTAGTCCTCTTTCTCATGAAAAGGCCATTGATTTCGAAGTATTACTGGAAACTTGATTATTTTTAGTTTGTAAGCCTTCGTCAACTGTAGTTGTTTAATATCTTGTTAACAGTCCCGAGTAGTATTCAAAATTTTTTTAAAATTTGAGATTTCGAACGAGTTATATAGATGTTAAAAATGTCACCATTGGATAGTTCACATCTTATATGACACTCCACTGGTTACATAGTGATTAAGATTTTATGTCACTTCTGTTCAAATCCCGAAACTCATTCTTTAACCAGAACTCCATAAATATTCATTAAAACACTTATACCTAACATTGAATTATTATCACATCAATTCGATGGGTTGATCTACAAACTAAAATAACATAACTTAGAAGCATTTCACCTTTTGTCCTGTACTGCCGAACCCTGAATGATTAGAAACAAGAAGAGCTAATGCCAACCCCACTGCTCCCCGCAGACCTCCCCACGTTAGTACCACTATCCACTTCCAGTTCAATCCATAGCCCAAACGTGATAGCACTGGATAAAGCGCGGTGATTGCTATGAATCTAGAACAAAAAAGTATTTAAAGTCATTAATACCATGAAACGCTATTGATTATCATATTCAAGTTAAATGTGGAACATGTTTTTTTTAAAATGTGTATCCACTAAGCATTTACAGTGCCAAGATTTTAAAGGCAAATCTGTGGAGATGAATGCTACTCACTTTACGTTAGAGTAAAGTGAGACTTAGGTAACCATACATGTAACAGTGCGTATTATTTTTTGTTGTTAGATCTATCACGAGCAACTTGAAACAAAATAAAAGTTATTTTTTAGGCTTAGTGGTTTTGATTCTAACATAAAACAATTAAAAATTAATGAAAATTTAACATCGAATATTTTCATTATAACTTGGATTATAGATTTCAGTAATAAGTCATTTTTTTCTTTTATCCTTACCTAAATAAGGTAATACCCATGTATGTTGCGAAAATAAGAAAGTAGTCATCCCGTTCGATACTCTCTGCTCCTTTTTCAGTGATTAAAATACCCACTTCAATAAAAATTAGGGTATTGGCTAAGTAGGACAACATCTCCCAAAAACTGTAAATAAAAAAACAGTATCTATGAGTATAATGTTTAAAATAAATTATGACTTCAGGCGTATGAATTTTTGTTGTATTTTAATACATGTGTATCACACTTTGAAATAGAATAAAACTAATCATCTATTTTTTATTTCAGAAAAATTGGCCGTAAAGTGCGAACTTGCATAATAATGAATCTAGTTGTAAACTGCATACACGTTAAAAAAAAGACTGAAACACGAAGAATGATTGCTAGAAATGATAAAAATAAAGCTTAATTATATACATTTATTCAGTTCACACTTTTCTTTTATGAATGGATATGTCGATGTCGGTGCTTTGCTAATGGTTTTAAATTTTCCCAGAAATACACACTGATAAATCAAAGCTGGAGATTTACCAGTTAAAGAGTTCATTGTCAAGTGCTTAAAATGTCATCCCAGTAACTTCAAAAATAGTGATTTTTACAAAAGATAGTATGTTACACTGTTTACCATTTTGTATTTTTCACTTGTTCACAATTTGACGATAACAACTCATATTTTTCAATCTTAATAAAACACACTGATTTATGTTCAGACTTGATTGACTCTTTATTTTCCTGAAGAAGGGTAGAGAACTATTTGAAAACGTTCGAGTTTTGAGTTTTGTTTGGAAACCAGACTTGATTGAAGTAGTTTAGTATTTGAAGACTCACGAACTGAAGGGTTTCTTCATTCTAGCTACATCGTATTATTTTAAGTGTTAGTTGTCTACCGACATTCTATATGGCCGAGGATGTAGTCGGACTATAGCTGTCTGTTCTTCAATGAATTGCACTAAATATTTTGAATGAATTAATGAAGGTTCACATAATTTATATTCAAACCAGACCTACAGTATCTAATATTGGCACATTTAATCATGAATTAGCAGGTTTTAAGTTCCATTTCTTAAATATTTTGTCAAAAACTAATATGCAGTTAGGCCAGTTTCGGATTTCCTTCATTAGTTAAATATTTAAAGTTCAAAATACAGTTTTTATTCCAGGTTTGATATAGAATAATTATAAACAACCATTTCATTTAACGAAATAATAAAACTGAAGTGTGACTTTGATTAGCAAACTATAGCTAAGAGTTGTTGTTATAGAATTCCTGCTCTGAAATGATCACATATTGTGTGCATGTATAACTATCCTCAATTTAAACAAGGTTATATAGGTTCAACGGATAGATCTTTTGAAATATGCATTTTTCCTTTGAAGAACAATAAATTGCAAACAAGGATAGCAGAAATGATATTCTTACTGTTTCTATTGAATATATGAAAGTAATATAAAATTAAAACAAATTATTGAATATTTCCTGGGCTCTGTTTCAAAACTAATGGTTGTATTGTAGAAATTAATAAATCATGAAAAGGATGAACATATCAAAGCATCACATTTTAACATTTACTATGACATCGATACCAATCCTATTGTGTTCAACCATAATTCAAAGCATGAAGTTCAGGCTGTCACTTCTACACTAAGGATATACACATCTACATACCTGCAGCTCCCTAGGCTTTGTTAACCTATCCATAATTTGTATTTTCTACGTGATGTGTGTTATGTACAAAAGGAATAATTACCTGTGAACAGTACTTTCCGCTTCGGGACTAATGCTTGCCTTCTCTCTGCTTAATACTACTCCCACCACAAGGACAGCCAATACACCTGAAACCCCTAAGACAGATTCGCCTAAGTAGAATGTAAGGTAGGCTACACAAAGGGTTATTGTAACTTCAATGACGTTGTCGGCGTAAATACATGTCAGAAAAAACACAGCAGTCTTTCCCATCAGAAAACCAAAGGCAGGTCCTCCCAGAGAAATTCGACAAAACAACAACATCATCGATCCAACTTAAATAAAAAAACATGTATAAACTCATGAAGTTTCACGAAATATTAGTTCTCACACTCAGATTGACATGAAATGTGAACAATTAAAATATAGATTGGGTTGTTTATTTAGTGTTCAATATTCATGTCAGTCTCAAAGATCACACTTAAAAACATTTAGAATCGGCAAATGTCGTACAATGCTCCACATTTTTATAGTTATTTTAATACTTTAAAAGTTTAAATCTATAAAGCAGCATATTAAATAATACGCGGGTTTAATAGCGTTTAATTAGTTCAATTAAAATTAGTGTTTTCAACATTTAAGGAATTGCGGATTTTCACAAACTACTACAAATTAAAACGAAGTTAGGAATGTTGGTATCATTACCTGAAAGTCCATGAGGAGAGAGTTTGAGCTTCAGCAGAATTTCAAAGATAACAATAGCAGCTCCATCATTAAGCAAAGACTCTCCCTCCACTATTGTTGACAAGGCCTTGGCAGCCCCTAGCAAATGTTAACATGCAAGTGATTAACTAATTGCAGAAAATTTCAAATAATATTTTCCCCCAAAACCCTACTATACATGGTTGTTGATAAAAAACAAAATAAAATAATATTGAATATGTTATTCTAAACACTACTGCATAACGCAAGTAATTTTATATCATTTAAACCAACTAGTTTTAAGATATGCCTTCTTATCAAAAGAACACTAAAAACTTAATAGTGAATCCAAAAGTTTGTAGTGATCATTGACATAAAATAAACTAACATACATTATATAGTGATATGTCAATCACACTAAATTCCAATACTAACGAGGCTATGGCTCATAAGGTCAGCTGGAACATTAAAGTCATGGTAGCAGTTTTTTATAACTGTCATTCCAGCCAAATGCTGGTGGGCCACCAGAGATATACATCCTCTCTTTAGCCATGAGGTGTAACTAGAAAATGTACAAATGATGATGAACGAGTTGGAAAAACTGTGTTAATTGGGTGGAAACGCTTGAACGAAGTGATTGGTATTTTATTTCATCATTGATATTATTTTGAGGGTCTTTTATTTATTTATACCTTTGTATGTCTGTTTTTATGATGATGATTTATACACGTATACTAGTAAACGATCATCGTCGTTTTTTTCTACACTTGAAATGTGGTAGATGGGACATTGGGAGGTCAACATGGTCAGGATGAAGTCAAGTAACTTAAAAGTTCAACAAATGTTCCAGTAGAGGTGGGATGTATAATACTGATCGAGACACTATTTATATCATCAATTTAAAGAACAACTGTTATGGTGTGATCTAGATTAAGTAAATGAATTGTAATTATTATTCATTTACAAGTCAGAATTGGGTTAAGGATTAATAACACGATATTATTTATTTATTTATTTTAACACTGATTATTTATTATTATTTTATCATAAATCAGAACTTACTAAATATTGGAGCTAATTCTA